TCCTGATTCCTCCCCCTCCTCCCCTCCCCCTCCGGGCCCAGTTGGGAGCACAAAGCCGAGCGCGCACGCTCCGCGGGCCCCGCGTCCCGACCGGCCGCCGGCGCCGGGGAAGCGGGTGGGAAACAAACTTTTTCTGGCTCCGCGACGGACACGTGAGTTTTCTTTCTTCCAGAGCCTTCGCCGCCCCGCCCCCCGCCCAGGGCCCGCGGGGGAGCCGCCGCGCCGCGGTGACCTTGGGTGGGGGCCCGGGGGTGCGGGCGCTCGGAGCGCCGGCCGGCTCCTCGCCGCCCCGGGAGCCATGTGCTCCGCCCCGCCCGGGCCGCGGGGGAGGCGGCGCGCTTTGTGTGCACCGGCCGAGCCGAGCCCGGGGGCGCGGCCCGGGGGGCGTTGTCACAAAGTTCCCGGGGGAGTGGCCGCAGGGGGCGTGCGTGTGGGCGGGGGCGCGGGGCCCCCGGGCCGGCCGGGGCGCGGAGCCGTCGCCGGGGTCGGGCCTCCCCGGAGGGGTCGGGCAGGCCGTGCGGTGGTTCGCGCTCAGCCCGCGTAACGGAGCGCAGCATCGCAGCCTGGGAGCTCTAAGTCTGACTATCAGCTGGGAGATTTGCGTGGCTGTGTGTGTGTGTGTGTGTGTGAGTGTCGAGGTGCGAGTGTCAGCGTGCAGGGCGGGGACCTGCAGCCATAGCCTGGGGGTGCATGGCCCCAGAAGGGCTCAAGGAAATTGAAGGGGTCATCCTTAAGGCCTTCGTCGGGAGCCTAGCACCCTTGGCCGGCAGCCAGGGTGTAATCTGTGCAGATAACCTGGAGTAAACTCTGCCTGCCAAGGCTGCATCCCGGAGCCTAATTCCAGCCAGTCTGGGGGCTGGAAATGTCTGACCTCCCTCAGGCAGCAGCTGCTGATGGGCACCTCCGAGTTGTGCCCCCTCTCACCTCCAGGTGGCCTAGCCGAGGGGAGACCCTTCCCTGGAAAGCTAAGCCCAGAGGTCTGGGCTGGGGCCCAAGTGCAGGAAACAAAACCTGGTGATGCCAGTCCATTGGCCTGGCCTTGTGGAGGAACTGTTCTAAGGCTGAGAAAGGAGGCCTAGAACTTTGGTTTTTAAAGTGTAATTTTTTTTCTACTTGGTGAACAAAAACTTTGCAGGATGAGTTGCTGAGTTACATTGTCCGAGGGCAAACTTTCCATCACTTGACAGGTAAAGGAGGTCCACTACCGTCCCAGGAAGACGGAGGGTCACACAGCCTAGAAAGGAGGAAGGGAAGGGCCTGACCTCGGAGGTCTTACTGAACATCTAACAGGACTGACTCCTCTTATTGCAGGGTACACCGTAGTTATACATGGATTTCTGAGCTATGCTAGAATTTTGAGACTTCTTACTGGGCTTTGGGAAACCTGAGAGGCAAAGTAGAAATAAGTGTCAAGAGCCTGGCATGGTGGTACACGCTTATAATCCCAGGACTGGAGATGCTGCAGCAGGATTCTGAGTTCTAGTCCTGCCTAAGCTACATAGCAAGGCAATCTCAAGGAAGAATTACTTATTTGTTTGACAATATAACTCACACGTGCACATCAGTATTGGAGCCTGAATCGAGGGCCTGGTGCTCTCTGCTTTCTTGTTCCTGGTTGACATTCTATCACTTGAGCCATGTCTCCAGTCAGCATTTTGTTGGTTAACTGGAGATGGAGTCTTGCTGTCTTTTCTGTCTAGGCTGCTGGTTTTGTTTTTGTTTTTTTGGGGGGTCCGGTCGTGGGGCCTGAACTCTGGGCCTGGGCGCTGTCCCTCAGCTCTTCAGCTCAAGGCCAGTGCTCTGCCACTTGAGCCACAACGCCACTTCTGGCTTTTTTCTTTTTGCTTATGTGGTGCTGAGGAATCAAACCCAGGGCCTCAGGCATACAAGGCAATCCCTCTACCACTGAGCCACCTTCCCAGCCCCTAGGCTGCTGGTTTTAAGCTGTGATCCTCCAGTCAGCCTCCTGAGTAGCTGGGATTACCAGCATGAGCCTCCAGTTCACACACAGCCTTTTATTATGCTGGTCTTGGGGCTTGATACCAGGGTGCTGTCTGTCCCTGAGCTCTTTTTTTTTTTATCCCCCTCAAGGCTAGTGATCTTCCACTTGAAACACAGTCAGTTTTTTGGTGGTTAATTGGAGATGAGTCTTAATGGACTTTCCTGCTTGGGCTGGTTTCAAACCAAGATCCTGTTCTCTATAATAGATCAGTTTCTTCCTTTGGAGAGGCAATTTGAAGGAATTAAATGACACCATAGAGATAATGTGTCCAGTATGGAGCAGGACAAACAGATTGAGGCCAGGTATGGTAGGATACACCTGTATTCCCAATGCTTGGGAAACTGGGGCAAAGAAGAGTTGGAGTTCCATCAGAACACTTGGCCAGACCTTATCTGGGAAAAACAGAACAATTTCAGGTGATGGCAGCTGTAATTTTAGCCCCAGCCCTACTTGGAGATGAGCTGCCACTCTTTTCAGTAGTTCCTACTTGTCAGTGGACCCTTCTTCCTGGCTGTTCAGCCTGAGGGTTTGAACCTGGGCCTGGGAGTTGTCTCTGAGTGTTTGTGCTCAAGGTTAACACTTTACCCTTTGAGCCAAAGCTCCACGTCCAGCTTTTTGGTAGTGTATTGGAGATGAGAGTCTCAGACTTTCCTGCCTGCACTGGCTTCAAACCGAGATCCTCAGATCTCAGCCTCCTGAGTAGCTAGGATTACAGGCGTGAGCCACCAGGGCTTAGCTCTCATCCTAAGACTTTGAACTACCACTCCTCCATTTCTGATGGCCCAAGTGCCTTTGCGTGATGTCCCTGTCCCCTTTATTGTCCTAGGCTCAGAGGTCCAGTCTAGCCCCAGGCACCATGTCTGACAGCGATCTGGGTGAGGAGGAAGGCCTCCTGTCCCTGGCAGGCAAGAGGAAGCGCAGGGGGAACCTGCCCAAGGAGTCAGTGAAGATCCTTCGAGACTGGCTCTACCTGCACCGCTACAATGCCTACCCCTCCGAGCAGGAGAAGCTGAGCCTTTCAGGACAGACCAACCTCTCAGTGCTTCAGGTAAGAGGGGACCTGGCTCTGTCACTGACACTGTGTGGGTCAAGTGAGGACACACACTCCCTGCCCGATGGACAATGCCATGAGGATAGGACATTGTAACCCAGTCAGAAGTTTTCAAGTCCATCTGAGGGGCTAGGAGTTGGTAACAGTGTCTGGGTGTCATTGTCACTGACCTTGGAGGCCTGGTGAGTGGCTGGGATCCTGGGCTTCAGTGTCTGGGTGTCATTGTCACTGACCTTGGAGGCCTGGTGAGTGGCTGGGATCCTGGGCTTCAGCTTCTTGCCCCCAGCACTGTTTGCAGGGACCGAAGGGCTTTTTGGTGTGGCAAAGAACTAAGTTGTAGCCGTACACCAGCGGCTTATGTCTCATCTGATGAGGGATGAAATTTGAAGCCAAAGCTAACCAAGACACAATAGTCCATGAGAGTTCATCCCCAGTTAACCAACAAAAAAGCAGCGCTGAGCTGGGCATCTGTGGGTTCACCTTTATTGTAATCCTGGTGTGCCTAAAGTGGTAGAATACCAGTGATGAACAAGCAAGTAGACTTCTTAGAAAGCTCTGATTTGAGGCCGGGCACTGTAATCCTAGCTACTCAGTAGGCTGAGATCTAAGGATTTCGGCCCAGGCAGGAAAGACAATGAGACTCTTATCTCCAGAAAACCGTAAGTGGCATCGTAGCTCAAGTGGTAGAGTGCTAGCCTTGAGCCAAAGAGCCGAGGGACAGTGCCCAGGCCCAGAGTTCAAGCCCCACGACTGACAAAAAAAAAAAAAACAACTATGTGTGTGTGTGTGTGTGTGAGAGAGAGAGAGAGAGAGAGAAGAGAGCAGAGGAGGAGGCAGGGAGGGAGAGGTCGAGAAGAAAGCAGAAGTCAGGTTCAAAGCCCCGTTCCACCTGTAGGAGCCTTGAAAGGAGGGCGAGGTCCCTCTGCTTCCGGGTGGAACTGGCCCTGTTGTTGAGCCCCAGCGCCTTTGCTCTGTGTCCCTGGTGTAGAGATTGGAGACACTGTTCACTCCCCCCCTGTGTCCAGCTGCACTCCTCCCCAGCCTCACAGCGGAGGTGCACTCCTGCCCAGCTGGCCTCCCGTTCTGTCATGAACCAGGCAGGCTTCTCTCCCAAGTCTGCCACCCTTTCCCCTTCTGTCCTCCCCTCCTAGGAGTGCCTTCCCTTGCCTTTACCTCAGAACCTCCTACTTGTCTGGCCTCCCAGATCCTTTCCCACTGCATGAAGATCCTCCTAAGAATCTGAGCAGACCCTGTTCTCTCCTTAGGACTTTTTATTTCCTCTTCTGGAAACAGGTTAGGGAGGTGCTTGGCATCTGGCCTGTGTGTATGTATTGGGGGGAGCTATGCTCTTCCCATGCTCACCCTGCCCCGAAGTTCAGAGGCCTTGGGCTGACTTGGGTTCTTAGCGGTAGGGGCCTGAGCACCCTCACTGTTCCCAGCTCTTTTCCCCCAGCATACCCTTGAGGAGGGTCTAGTTTGGCCACCAGCAGGGTTAGAAGGCAGCAGAGACCCAGGTCAGGTCTGGCCATAGAGCCTGAGAGCCAGGTTACATACGCAGCCTTTGCTGGCCTCTCTGCCTACATCTTTTCTCCTTTAATAAGTTTTCATACATTTGTATGGTGCTAGGACTTGAACCCAGGGCCTTGCACATTCTAAGCAAAGCGCTCTAACCACTGAGCTCTGCCCCATCCAGCTACCACTGTCCACGGTGGCCATTCTTTTTGCCTTAAAGGAGTGACTTTCAGTGAGCCAGCTCCTTATAACAGCACTGTCTTCCACAGGTTTCCGAGTTTTTCATTTGCAGAGCTTGTCCTGTCTTTCCCTGGGGCACCATTTTTGATTGTCTCCTTTAGCTGCCCACAGCGAGCTCATTAGCAAGTCAGTGAGTCATTTAGCTACCAGTTTGTTGCTACTTGCAACTTGTGGCTCCTGGGCTCTGGCAATCACCTGTCTCCCACATCTCCAGACCTTTGGAGCATTTTTCCCCCCAATCCTGAACTCAGGGCCTGGGCACGGCCTGTGAGCTTCTTTTGCTGCACTCCTCCCCAGCCTCACAGTGGAGGTGCACCCCTGCCCAGCTGGCCTCCCGTGCCGTCATGAACCAGGCAGGCTTCTCTCCCAAGTCTGCCACCCTTTCCCCTTCTGTCCTCCCGTCCTGGGAGTGCCTCCTTCCCTTGCTTCTACCTCAGATCCTCCTACTTCATGAAGACATTGCTGAGAATCTGAGCAGATGCTGTTCTCATGCATGCTAGGCAAGCACTCTACCACTAAGCCAGTTCCCAGCCCAGGGGCCTTTACTTTTGAGCTTCAGTGTGAACTCTTTCCCCCCTCCTCCCTCCCCAGGGTTCAGCTCACCAGGCAAGTTATACAGGCTAGGCACAGAACTCTCTGGATACCTTGTTTACAAACATTCTAGGTGCTCCTGCTGGTGGCTCACGCCTGTAATCCTAGCTACTCAGTAGGCTGAGATCTGAGGATTGTGGTTCAAAGCCAGCCCAGGCAGGAAAATTGGTGAGACTCTTATCTCCAATAAGAGTCTGCCCATGCTGGCTTTGAACTCCTCAGTAGATAGGATTACAGGCATGAGCCACTGGTGCCCGGCTTGGGTCTCTCTTGTTCTGTGGGCTCTGCTTACTTTCAGACCCAGACAAGGTGAGGAAAGCACTCTAGGCCTTCCTCAGGCACCTGTCCCGTCCCCAAGGCCTGTCCCACTGGCTTTGTGCTATTCCCTCTGCCCCAGGGCCAGCCTCTCTCCCTGTCCTTCATCTCTGGCAGGGCATCCTTTCACATAGGCCTGTTGGTGGCAGAGAGCAGTTTTTGAGACATCATAGAATCCTCTGGTAGCCCCTCCACTCCTTGCTGAGGACCATGGGTCGGGGCAGGTGGCCAGTTCTTTTCCTGGCCTACGTATGGGTGGCACAGCTGGACAGGCTTGGGTTACTGCCCAGATTTCTGTGCTGCAGGGCAAGCACTGGTGTGTATGTGTGTCTGTGTGTCTCTGTCTGTCTGTCTCCGCCTGCCTGCCTGTCTGTGTGTCTCTGTCTATCTGCCTGCCTCTCTGTCTTGTCTGTCTGTGGTTTCCTTGTTCTCCTGGCAGGCAAAATGGGTGGTGAGGCTGGGGGCCAGGTCCCCTCCCACTCCCTTCACTCCCTCTGGCTGCTTTCTCCTAACCTAGGTCACTGTGACCTGCATCCAGGTGAGGTGGAGGGCAGAACAGCTTTAGGAGAAAGGGCTTTCGGTTGATGTTCTTTTTGTTTGTTTGTTTGGTCATGGGGCTTGAACTCTGAGCCTGAGCACTGTCCCTCAGCTCTTCAGCTCAAGGCTAGTGCCCTACCACTTGAGCCACAGCGCTACTTCCAGTTTTCTGGTGGTTTATTGGAGATAAGAGTCTCATGGACTTTCCTGCCTGGGCTGGCTTTGAACCTCGATCCTCAGATCTCAGCCTCCTGAGTAGCTAGGATTACAGGCGTGAGCCACCAGCACCTGGCTAGGTTGATGTTCTTAGGAGGTGGTGGACCCTGTCTGGTTGAGGGTGTTGCCCATCTTCCTTGATCAGGGCTTTTCTCCTGGGGGAATCAGATTACCACCTATCTTGCAGGCCCTGACAAAATGGCCAGCAGATCTGAGCTTGACGTTTTGTGTCACCAGTTGCTGTTGGGGTTGTGGTGTCCTTCCTTCCTGTGCTTGGGGAAGGGCAGGACGGTGGGGGCAATGGCCAGGAGATGGGGAGGAAGTACCTCCCAGCTCTGTACCCCTAGGCCTGTGCCCTGGGGAAACCCTTTACCTCTCTGACCTGCACTTTTGAGATGCTACTCCCTACCTCAGACTTTTGGCATTCAAGGTTAATGTCCAGGAGGAAAAGATGCTGGCATAACACCTGGTATCAAAGGTTCTTATTAATGTTTCCTCCTGCCAGTTGTGCAGCCTTGCTTTTCTTCGCGGCTCCCTGGCACCTCTATCTAGAACTTGGCTCAGCCAGTATCAGCCATGCCTGCTGTGTATGTGCTGCGTTACTCAGGAGGACTAGAGGTACAGGAAGCAGGGTCACAGGGTCTTTGCAGGCTGACATGGAGAGGGAGAGGAGGGCCATACTGGTGGCTCCTCCCTGTCTTACAGGGAGTGCACAGCCCATTAGGAAGGAGCAGTGCCAGTTCCAAGGTACCTGCTGTCACTCACAGGTGGCTGTCCCTTTGGCTGGCATAGTTGATGGGAAGCTGGTAGCCAACAGCTTGCTCAAATAACGGGCCTTGAAAGAAGCCTGGAGCTGGTGGCTCATGCCTGTAATCCTAGCTAATATGAGGCTGAGACCCAGAGGATTGGGGTTTCAGGCCACCCAGGGCAGAAAAGTCCACAAGACTATCTCTATAATTGCCAGCAAAAAGCAAGGTTGGAGATATGGATCAAATGTAGAGTGCTAACAAATAAGTATGGGTACAAGATCCCTGGGCCTTTAACTCACACAGTAGAGCATTCTGGGCATTACCGTCGCGCACACAGGGTGGGAAGGGGGTACAGTCTGAAGGTGTCTGCTGAATTAGGAGTCAGGACCTGGAAGGACCTGGAATGCCACTGTTTAGACCTACCCTTAGTGGTTTACCAGAGCTCCAGGCTGGTGAGATGAGAGAATGTCTGTCCCGATAATGAACCTACCACCTGCATCATCTTTCATCAGTTCCTGTTTTTTTTGTTTGTTTGTTTGTTTGTTTTTCCCCTGAGCCAGCATCTTGCTGTTACCCAGGCTGGTCTCAAATTCCTGGACTCAAGCATTCCTGCCTCAGCATCTCTAGTGGCTGAGACTACAGGTACCTGCCACTATATCCAGCCTGGATGGTCATTACTTGTTTATTGTTAGTGATGACATCGTAGTAAGGCTGGTCTAGGCAAAATCAAGAGGCCCAGATTTCAGTCCCCAGTACCACCTCCCCCCCAAAAAAAATAGTCTAGAGGGTTGGATAGGGCACATCAGTGGTAGAACACTTGCTTAACACAAGCAAAGCCCTAACTAGCACCTGCCCTTTATCTGCAGCAGATAAAGGGCAGGTGCTAGCTAGGTTTATAATCTACCCCCAACCACAGGCCCCTTGAGCTCTTTAGCATCCCATGGAGTGCAGCAGGGATATGGCATGCCTGTAGTCCTGGCATTACTGGGAGGCTGTCATTTTTCTTGTCCCTGACAGCCCCTTGGTGCCTCTGGTTTGTGTTCTACAGGCCTGGGAGTGGATGGGCAGCAGTGTCTCCTCTCATCTGTTATCTCCTAGCTGGCCACAGCTCCATATTGTGTGTCCTAAACAGACCAAACATTTGTCTTCCTTTTCTGGAGGCATCGGGAATGTCGTATGAAACAGGGTCTCGCTTTGTAAGACAAGCTTGCAGTCCTAACTCAGCCTTCTTAGTGCAGGGACTATAAGCCCACTCCCCTACACCTGGCCTACTGGAATCTGACCTACCAGCCCGTCTCCTAGTTCTAGGTCCCCGACTCCTAGTCTTTTGCACATAGCAAGGGCCACTCCCTTTGTCCATAAAGAACCAAGTCCTCACTTGGCCCCTGCTGCCCTGTCTCTCCTGCTGCAGCAGGTCCCGCTGAAGATCTGCTTCCCACAGAAGCCACCAGGTCTCCCCAGCTCCATCCCTGGCCAGCCTGTACAGTTAGAAAGTTAGAAGCCCTGTGTGTGCGCACTTTGCTGTGTGTACTGCTGGGCCCTTGGGGGCTTCCCAGCTGACCTTAGCTTCTCCACGCCTTCCAGATATGCAACTGGTTCATCAATGCCCGGCGGCGACTGCTCCCGGACATGCTTCGGAAGGATGGCAAAGACCCTAATCAGTTCACCATTTCCCGACGAGGGGGGAAGGCCTCAGAAGTGGCCCTCCCCCGGGGCAGCAGCCCCTCCATGCTGGCTGTGTCCGTGCCGGCCCCAGCCCCCACCAACGTGCTGTCCTTGTCAGTGTGTTCCATGCCACTCCACTCAGGCCATGGTGAGAAGCCCATGGTACCCTTCCCACAGGGGGAGCTGGAGCCTCCAAAGCCTCTGGCCACCCCTGGTAGTACACTCACTCTGCTGACCAGGGCTGAGGCTGGAAGCCCCACAGGGGGACTCTTCAACACGCCACCCCCCACCCCCCCGGAGCAGGACAAGGAGGACTTCAGCAGCTTCCAGCTGCTGGTGGAGGTGGCACTGCAGCGGGCCGCTGAGATGGAGCTCCAGAAGCAGCAGGACCTGGCTCCCCCATTGCTGCGTGCTCCCCTCCCTCTAGTCTCCGAGAACCCCAAGTAGGCATGGCCGCCAGGCTGCTGGGGGGAAGGGGGTGCCTTCCTGGGCTCCCGGCCCCCTCCCTTCTGCCCAGAGGGTTTTCTGCAATCACTGCCAAGCATCCGGTCATCTCCTCTGTCCAGAGGTCCTCAGCAGGAAGATGCATTGCGACCTCTGCTGACTGCCATTGTCCAGGTCTCAGTCCGGAGACCTTGGGGCAGGAGACAGGCATGGTGCTGCTGCTGCTGCTTCTCCAGAGTCCCTGGGGTGCCTCGTCCCGCTGCCTTCCTGGGCTGGGCTGGAAACCTGCCAAGCTCAGGCTTCGCTGGTTGTGCCTCACTGTCCAGCCAGTTCGCACATTCCAAGTGGGACGAGAGAGAATCCAGATGATGTCCCACACCGACTCCAGTTGAATGTGTTTAGGTTTTTGCTAAACTTCTTCCCTCTGTGCTGTGGTTGGTGCTGGTGGCAGTTGCACCCTGGGAGCCCGGCACGGTCCGTGGTACGCTGAGATGCCCACCTAGGCAACCACAGTGTATCGGAAGATTTGTATTTGGGGGACCAGCTCAATCTCTGCGGCGGTGGGAAATTCCAGATGGTGGTTTTATTGTTAGCTTGGTTTACCAAATAAGGTGGTGGGGGTGGGGCAGGGGTGAAGGAAACCACAGTGGACATTGGCTTTTCTGCACCAGGCACAGAAGGGGAGAATCCCCAAATCTAGTGCTTCGATCACATAGAGCAGAAGAGAAAATGAGGGGTTTGTTTTGTTTTTACTGTATTGGGATAAGGGTTAGACTGAAGCCGGGGGCATAATTTTCTTTATCCCTTTTCAGTGTTTCCCCCTTTACGTTGCGAAAGCTTTGCCCGGCAGCCTAGGTTTTGGATTCCTTTAGGTACTTGGGGAGTGAGCCCTCTGCTGGCAAGGAAGCCCGTGCAGCGCCCACAGCCAGGTGGGAAGCTTCCGGAGGGGGCAGGGTCAGTGCCTGCAGGGGCCTGGCCTCTGCCTTCAGAAGTGACTGCGCTGGAGTGGGGTGGGGAAGCTCATCTTGGAGCCCTGAGTGCCTTCCTTCCTTTCATCCTCCTCCAAATTGCAGCCGCCAGGGCCCTGCCTAAGTGACCCAATAAATAGATCCCAGTTGATCTTCAGCTCCCCTCCCCCCCTTATTTTGCTGTTTTATTGCTGATAGTTTTCAACAGCAGTATACCCCATCTTTATGTATCCTAAGAAACACTAATCCTAGGTTTTTTTTATTAGCCCAAATATTTTTTTGTTCTAAATAACATTACTGGGCCAGAAGGTTTTTGAGGGCTCCTGACCTGTAGGTTCATGGAAGCTGGTAGGTTGGGTGTGAGGGGAAGGGATTCCTGGGTACTGACGGGTGGGCCTCAGCAGGAAGGACCCTGCTGGCCTCAGGGGCTCCTGTACGTCTCCTTGCTGTGGGAGTGGTGAGTTCTGCCTGCCTCCCTTTCTTCCTCATGCACCCCAGGGGAGCAGGATCCTCACCCTCCAGAAGCTTCTCTGGAGAAGGTTAGCGGAGTTCACAGCTATGCCTACCTGGAAGGCTGGATCCTATAGGTGACTAGGAGTGGGCCAGACTGGGTGGGACTTTCCCCATGGAGGTGCACTGAGCAGGAGGGCACAGGCCAGGGAGCCACGCTGCTGAAATACTTGGCATCCCCGTGGGTAGGAAGTGGGCGTCTTGGGGTGAGGCAGCCCTGCTTAGGTCTGGTTGTAAGGTAAGCCTGGAGGAGAAGCACACTTGTCCCACTCAATTATTTGAGCAAAAAACTACTGTAAATAACTTGTTTTTGTCTTCTGTCAAATAAAGTTTTGTTTTTAATTCTGAAGCAGAGCCGAGCTATGAGCTGGTCCTGTGGCTCTGGAGAGGCAGGCAGGTGTTACTCTGCCTTGAGCTAGCTTACTCTAGCGTAGGCAGCGCCTCGCACTTACCAGTGGGCATCCAGACCTGCCAGCCCTCCTGGGTTAGCGGTTGGGTTGAGTAACCAAGCAGTGAGGGCAAAGACTTGAACTGGGAGCTTCGCCCTCCCCTCAGGAGCGCGCATGAAGCTGGGCTGCTAGAACAGCAGACAGGAGACTGCCCCAGACCACCTGCACTTGCCATCTCTAATCTCTACCTGTTGGCTGCCATTCCCTTCACCTAAGCTAAGCTAGCTGGGGATGGATTTCTGCCAAACCCCACAGCATGCTAATTAAAGCACAGGGTACCGAAACCCAAGTTGTGAGCCCTTGTTGCTGCTGGCCAACATGTTATCTTCTAAGTTTCCAGAGGTAAGGAAGTAAGATGTTCTCTTCTAGAGAAAGGAACTGGGTGGGCATGCAGCTTACCTGCCAGTGGAGCATGGCTTTGAATTCAAGCCTGTTGTGCTTCAAGCTGTTGTGAGGCTCTCCCTACAACCTAGCTGCGCGGGTGATAGGCAGTTTACCACTGCTGCCATCTAGCTGACTTAACAGTGGAATGGGCCAGGCATGAGTTTCTCCTAATTGGCATTTTTAGGATTCCTAGCATAATGGAGGACTGTGACCTCCCCAGGAACACTCCTTTAGCAGTTTGGAGAATCCCAGATTAAAGAGGCTCACTTCCTTTGCCTCTTAATCCAGGGCTTCTCTGGCTTAGCCTCCAAAATGGACACTTACACCTGGCACAGGGAAGAATAGCTAAGTGCCAGAAGGGCTCTTTGAAATGAGGGCAATTCAGTTTGTACCAGTAAGTAAATATTCCCCCTACATTATACTTTGAACTGCTCTAAAGTTCATTTAAAGGCGTATTTAGCACATGATTGGAGGTGATGGTTCTGCCCTCATCTGTGGGCTAATGCATACGATGTGTGATTTGGTAGCAGTGGAAGGTGCTGGGAACTAGGAAGTAGTAGTTTGGCAGGTAGGGGAGAGTCTTGACCCTGTCTACTTTGTCTCCCTGCTTCCCTGTCTCAAATGAGGTGAGCCGCTTTCTCCACCACATGACCCACCCTCTGAACTGAGCCAGAGCCAATCTTTACATTGTTTTTCAGGGATTTTGTCAGCAGCAATAGAAAATTGACAACACCCCAGGAAAGAGAAGAGCTGTACAGGGTTCAATTACCTAAGAAAGGACTTCTATGTAGGCTTTTCAAAGAACCAAAAAGTCAAGCTGGTAACGAAAGTTGGCAGAATAAAGTGGCCAGCACTGCTACCTGGAACTCAAGATCAGTGCCCTTGGCTACCTGAGTTCTGTGATTACAGGTACACATCATCATGACCAGCCAAGAAAGACCTCATACACATTTCTACCTCTGTTCTTTGGTGACCTGGAGGTCAAGTGTAGCCATACTAAGATTTTTCAATTTAATCATTCCACCTTCCTTACTCAGATTTCCCTATCATTGACTTAACCAAAATTGTGTGTCACTGACCACACAGACTTTGCTTATCATTTTTGGAATTATTAATTGTAAATAACATGGCAACTATTTATATTGCATTTACTTGACTTAGGTATTATATGTAGAGATGACTCAAAGAATAAAGCACAATTGTATAGGTTACTCATACTTTACTTTTGTGAGCTGCAGGACTTGAACTCAGGGCCTGGGCGCTGTCCCTGAGCCTCTTTGTGCTCAAGGCTAGTGCTGTACCATTTCAGCCACAGTGCCACTTCCGGTTTTTGAGTGGTTAATTGGACATGAATATCTTGGGGACTCTTTCTCCCTGGGCTGGCTTTGAACCATGATTCTCTGATCTCAGCCTCCTGAGCAGCTAGGATTACAAGCGTAACCACTGGTACCCAGCTCAAATACTATTTTATAAAATATAGCATCTTTGGCTTTTGTTATCCGTGTGTGTGGGGGTAGGGGGTGTCTCCCAGAATAAGGAGGGTACTTCCCAGTACTAGGGTATGAACTCGGGCCTAAGCTTACTAGGCGAATGCTCTACCACTTCAGCCATACCCCCAAGTCTTTTTTTCTTTATTTTTCAAATGGGGTCCCCCCAGCTTTTGGTCAAGTGGCTTCTAACCATACTCTTCTACTCAAGCCTCTGTACATCTGAGATTCCTGACACCACCACTCCTGATTAGTTCTTTAGATAGGGTCCTGTTAGAAATGGCTTAGATGTTGGTATTGGGGCAATAAGGACACCAACTCACAAGGAACTTGGCAGGGCAAAGTTTACTTTTGCAGAAGGGCGTAGTATCAGTCAAAAATCGGGCAAGCATACAGAGCAGACAGGCTGCTCCCTTTTTAACCCTAACCCAGCAGGCCCTGCCTCTGCCCATATTGGCTGAGCTGGCCCAGGTTCATAAATCTGCAAAAGGGTGTGGCTTAATTAACAGGACTGAAGAGCAGCTGGAGAATTATGTGATCAAAATGTAATTAACAAGGGCCAAGCCACCTACCAAAGCAGGAACTTCCCACAAAAACAAGTCTCAAGATTAACAGAGCCAGGGGCGGCTCTGTTGGTGGCCCAATCCTTCAGCCCAGGCAGGAAAGTCTGTGAGACTCTGTCTCACCACCAGAAAACAGGAAGTGGAGCTGTGGCTCAAAGTAGTAGAGTGTTAGTCTTGAGCAAAAGAGCTCAGGGACAGTGCCCAGGCCCTAAATTCAAGCCCCACAACCAACAAAAAACTAACCCAGAAAAGAAGCAAACTACTTTGATAGAAAAGACACTTTTCTCACAGGTTCTGCTAACTTGTTGCCCAAGCTGGCCTGGAACTGAGAGCAGCTAAGATTTTAGATGGGCACCACTGCACTCAAGTTTCCCAAGAGACAGCTTTAATTTACATAAACTAAAAATCAGTCCTAGTTAGCCGGGCGCTGGTGGCTCACGCCTGTAATCCTAGCTACTCAGGAGGCTGAGATCTGAGGATCGCGGTTCAAAGCCAGCCCAGGCAGGAGAGACCGTGAGACTCCTATC